GCCTTTATGGGCTCCAAGAGCCCAATAGCAATGTCAATGCCATTATTGGCTGCGTGTGCCTGCTCAGCCTTAAGCCTCATGGTCCCAAAAGGACCTCCAGTTTTGCTGCAAACATCAAATGTACCAGCAGAGTGCCATCTACAATCATACCACCACATTTCCACTATCATCAATCATTAATTCTAGGTAATTTCAGAATAATCAACTCATGAATACATAGAATAGATATATGTATTTCCCAAGAAAATGATACATATTGTGTCCCAGGGCCAGGGAAAAATCTTGCTTGTGATACACTCTTAAGCGGATCTCACATTATGCTTGATGCAACTTATGAATTTACAAGTGTTTTTAGCATCGCTCACTCTCTTCTTTGACTTTGATTGTGAAAACCAACAAATATTTCAAGTTTTACTTATGCTTAACCCTTTAGTTCACCATTTTGAACCTAAGGGGACAAAATCAGTATATGTAGCGTGATTTTATTAACAAATGCAATTAAACTTTCTCATGGCATACTCAAATTATTGTGAAATATCACTAAAAACCAAAAAAAAAAGCCAGAAAATTAATTAATCTTACGCGAGACGGAGCATGAGAGGAGCGCAGTTCTTATAAGCAATGAGGGCTCTTAGCTGTCTCTTGCATTTTTCAACGGCCTTCTGGTAATCCTCACTCACAGTTGGATAAATTTTTCCCATTTCAACGTTTCTTCAACAATCAGGCTTATTCACATCAATATGCAAAAATCAATAAGTAAACAAGCATTTCTACATAAATAACTAGCAAAACAAGATATATGCATCAAAACAGAGTCTAGAACCATTAATCTGAAGATGATTAAGAGAGAGAGATCTGTCAACTATACTGACCTTAGAAGTAAAAAATTTGAAAGAAATCGTAAAAAAACCCTAGCAGGAGAGTGTGGAGAGCACAGATACAGAACTGAAGAAGAAAAGGGAACTCTTGACTTTTTTGAGTTTTTTTATCGTGGTTCCTGGAGTAATTGACGGTCATGATTGGCAGATGTTAGACGTTGGAATACAACGGTACGAACGCATCGTGTCTGTTGGTAACGCAGGGAATAGAAAGTGGAAATTGAGCCGTGTGATTCTAATCGGATCTTTTTAGGATTGAAAAATGCTACTTGTACATAGCATTTCTCATAATACTTTACAAAAGGGTCAAGTGGCGTCTCTCTATTGGAGGGAGGCGCCACTTGCCCCTTATGTGAACCATTATATGTGTCTCCATAGCACTACTCTTTAAGATTTTACTATTTCTACTTCATTTTGTACCACTTTGTAGACAGAAGAATGTGTTGATAATATTTTATTGGATAATTCTTCTTGTACATTAAGGGTGCCATAATGGACACATG